CAAAGCAGGCGATTTCGATGAAAATAGCAGTTCCAGGATTATATGAGCTCTTGCTTCAGCGCTTTCGTCATTTTTACATGGCCATATCTCGGGGCATGTATCCAAAAAACGCTCCACCAGCCGACTTTGCATGTCATCCTGAACAAAAACAATCACTGCTGGGAGGCACCGGGCATGTAGCTGATTCTCAGTGACACGGCGGCGTTCTTGTTACCCATAATCTCGAGACATTTGGGGCATAATTATGAAGCCTAATTTACTCATACTCATTCTTTTCCTGCTTTGCATCCAATACGCCTTCGACAATTTGGCATTCAAGGTCAACCTGGATGCTACAATCGGGTTATCCAGGACGAATCACGCAGCACAAGCACCAGAATTCAAAGGAAAAATTTGAACAGCCTACAATTTCATATTTGTATTTCATTCACAAAGATTACTAGAACCGACTAATAACACTTCTCGATAAACAAGAACCAAGGAAGTTCGACCCCGAAGTAACCACATCATAACAGACCACATCTAAACCCCGTATGCTTCGCGGATCCCACAGCGAACTGTGCTCGTAAGGTTAAACAGAATATAGCAGGACCTTGAAGCACGATGCAAAAAAATGGGTCTAAAACCAGCACATCGAAAGCAAAGGTGACGCAAAATATCCGTATGCCCACATCCAGATTTTAGATAGACGGCGTTGACTTGGAAGAAGTTGACAGCTACGTCTATCTTGATCAGGAAGTAGAAATATCACAGTTCCCGATATGAACAGAGGGGTAGTCTATAAGGGCAGGCTTTACAGCATGGTCGATATCTAAAAAAATGTCTAACCGAAAGGATTGTGCTTACTTTTTTAGTACCGCTATGCTGAAAACAGACACTAAACGCGGCCAATAACAAAAATGAAAGAGTGAACGCTGGTTGTGATAGACATAACAGCAAAGGCATAAGGGATGCTTTTTAGGCCCTCGAGTTAACGACTTACCCACGAAAAACTTTCACGGGCCCGTACGTGGGTACCACGCATACCCGATGCCTGAGTCTGGACTCGTCAGTACCTACTTGGGCGGGGAACACTCCCTTAAAATTCCAGTCTTCTAGCTTTTCAGGTACTCGAGTTAGCATCTTACCCGAAAAAAAAACTTTGACGGGCCCATTCGTGGGTACCAGGCGGATAAGAACGCCCATTTCGGAGATGTTGGCCCGTACACGCATACAGATTAAGTTACACAAGTTTCAGCCCCTTAGCTTTTCTGGGTTTCGAGATAAAAAATCGGTACAGACGCAGGACGCGTACACAGACACACAGACACACACACACAAACACAGACAACCTTTCATCAATGTGCGTTTTCTGCATTGCATAGCTGCAAAAAAAGCAAAAAAATATAAAATTTCAAAGTGGATTTCCGCGAACTGAAATTCAAATAGAACTCACCATGGTAAGGGAATTAGAAAGACGCGTCAAAATGCTTTCTGGGTCATATGTATCATAATCTGGGGAACGCGGACTTTCCATCTCGATTGCACACTCTGAAAATTCATTTTCTGCATTTCCTGTGCCAAAAAGTAAAAAAAAAAAAAAACCTCCGCATTTGTTCCCAACAAAAAATGAAGGAACATGGGAAGAAGCCCGAGTAATCGCAAATGCTATATAAAAAGTTATATCTCAGTTGCTGGTTTTGAAACACTGAAATCTGTTACTGAAAACTGAAACATGCATAAGTACATAAGTACAAACCTCCACCACGGCTATATAAAATCCGTCTTACAGACTCCGGAATGGTCAGATTTGGTAAATTGAGTACACTTCCAACCAGAGAATCAAATTCGTTCGATAAATTAACATCCTGAAATATAATTCTGCAAAAGAAAACAC